ACATATATTTGAAGAGGCGATCTTTAGAAACTTTCTTCGCGTATTTACCACATCCAAAATATTTAATTGTATCTATAAGATATTTTGGTAAAGCCATTTAGATCAGATCTGATTAGATCGAAATAATTTTTAAGACATGTTTGGGATTTTTTTGCAACGGATTAGTCAACTATGTTGTATCTTCAAGTTTCATAGATTGCGTTACAATTTGGAAACCCCACTGATATGTACTACTTATAATCAAGAAATTGATGTTTTTTTGCGTGTAGTTTTTGTGTGGTGTGTGTTATCCTCCCCCCTTTGCGGCAACGTTCATCTGGCTTTCTGTAGATTTTTTGCTATTGTTGATTTTTTGTTTTATTTATAGTTAGTTTGGTTTTAACGCTCGCTTGTTTAGCTTGGGTTACCTCGCACATCCCTGCGCTGCATTGCTGATGATGCCTGCAAGCTTAAAATCGTCATAAATGCATGGTTACCCACACACGAGCAAGTTGGCAAAATGTAGAAAATCACACGGAGGATGCAGCCGATGCAGGGTAATTGCAACTGCGAGGGTTGCTCCACAAGTTCACTTGGCACAGCGGCAATCTCAAGGATCTCGAGTATCTGAATCTTGTGGATATCTGCCAGAAGCAGAACTTTTCCACATTCCCCAACACATCTGCCTCATTCATATGGAGCCAAATGCAGGCGAGTTTATGTGTTTTAGTTTTTATTTTCGTCATATTCGAGTGGCGTTTTTGTGGCGGGTTTTCTTTAGTTTGTTCTGTGTGGTTCTGTTTTTGTTTTGTGTTTTTTTTTCTGAACCCACCCCACTATTTTTTGCAGTGCCAGGTTTTTGTTGCGGTTTTCACGTGTTGCGTTTTCTGCAATTTTTTGTTTTCTTAGCAATTTGTTCTTATTTTTGTTGTGACTACTGCCATGAATAAGCAGCAAAAATAAAAATATAAACAAAAACCCCCGCCCCACCCACTGACCCTGCTTCTTCTTCTTCAGCTGCCGGCGATTTGTGTGCTAATAATTCAGCATTTGTTTCGACTTTTTTTCTCTTTTGGCCCTATGTTGCGCTTGTTTTTAGCCACTTTTTTTGTGTTTGCTTGTGTATTTTCGCTTTTGCCGGCTTTGCTATTTTTGTTTGCTTTTTTTGAAATTTTTTTCTTTTGTTTTACACATTTTTTGCCATTGCCGGTTTTAGTTTGCCCGCTCAAACATTGTAAATTATTTGCTGGTAGCAACATACATAAATATAGATACAATTTATCAACTCGGATGAGTTAGAGCTTAGTCGGCCTCTGTTTATTTATCTTTTGTCGGTTTTTTATCTCGCTTTTTGTTACTCTGTTTTATTTACAGCATCGGCTCGTTTATCAAAGTTTGAGCCTCAGATGGGGACATCATCACTTAATAATATTGACACTTCTATACAAAGACCACGAAACCGAACGGTTGGTATGGGTTTGGGTATTGAGTTCCAAAAGACGATTACGAGCTGAAAACGATGGCAGAGACACATACACAGATGCCGATTCTGAGATACAGATACACAATCACAAAATTAAGTGATTATGTTAACCGGTTCGATTTTTTTTTTCTTTTTTCGATTCGTTGTTGTCTCGGTTTTTGCCATTCGTTCGTTCGCTCAGGGTACCAAAACAGAAATTTACATCAAAATTAACTTGTTATGTGGCCAACAACAACAAGAAGAACTACGGCGAGGAGCTGAATACCGAACCGAAACCGAAACTCGGGCCTCCAAGCTGACAGCCCCTTCAGATCCCTATCCTCAGTCCCAGTTCTTCTTCTCACAGCCAATCTTGTATAATTTCGAAATTAGAGCTCATCATCAGCCCATATCGAAGTCGTTGTTCGGCGTCGGCGTGTTCTTTATTGTGTATCTTGGGAGATATAGAAAAAGTTAACAGTCAATGTCCCCTTTCGGTTCAATATTATCTAAGCTAAGTATACTTTATTTGTTAGACCGCATTTAAATATCATAGATAAGATGGAATTAGCAAAATTTGTGTTCTTTTTGATTAAGCAACATTTTCATGGTGTCGATTAAAATGGCATTTGATTGGACAGATCACATAAATATTCTCAGATTGGTAAGCTCATTAAAAGGACTCAGAACATATTAAAATATCAAATTGGGTGGAACAGCTACTACGGAATATTCTGCGCAGATTTTTGAAAATGATAACATTAATTAAAGAAAATAAAGCCTTAAATGATTTATTCAATAATTTGCTTGTGGAATTTATTGGAATTTATTTAAATTATTTGGTTGTGTCAATTGAATACTTAAATATCATTAAATTGTAGATACCACATGAACATTCCTAAACTAGACTTTCTATCCAATTTAGCTTATATCAGCGACCGAATGCCTTAATAAATTGTAATTAAGTTCCATAATTGAAAATTATTAGAACAGATTAGCCTTCCATTCGCATGTTAATATAATCTATCTTCTCTTGAATGAAGTAATTCATTGAAGGCAATCGAAATGAACTCCCAAAACCATTTTGTACGCACTCGAGTATGAAGCCCTAATTGGATTCATATGTGCAACAACTTTACCACTCTTGCCAAAAACTCATCATGATATCTGCCTGGGTTAATTTAATTTGCCAATAAGTATGTGTAATTAATATTTCAGCCAAGTATGCCCTGAGTAAGTTTCAGAGACTAACTGCTTGGCATAACTTTTTGGCAGTTGCAATTATATCACGTATACGCCGTGTTGCCTGTGTGTGTGGGTAAGGCAAAAGTTTCAAGTAAGTGGCAAAGTTCAATTCCCTGTCTGCCATACATACATATATTAATTATAATATAAATGAGCAAGCTCAGCTAAATCCATCAACATAATGGGTGGCTGAGATAACGATAATACACAGGATGGCAATAGAAATCTCTAATTAAAGCCTTGACAATAGTTGACACGAGGCGGGGTAGCTGGACTGCTGGGAACTGGAAGCCACTAAGCGGCTCACTCTTGCCCCAGACATCAAGATCTGGGCAAACAAAGGTGTCTGGGCCCGGGATGATGGCTGTCTGGATCTGGTTAGCTCTGTGGCTCTATGGGGAGTCGTAGTCGCCTCACCTTCACAGATATATCACCCTAGTCGTCCAGGCTTATTTCATTCATGGGCTGTCGCATGTTTTTGTTTTTACGTCTCCCTTCCGCATTTTTTTTAGTAGCCACACACATGCGAGGGGAGAAATATGGTATGCAAAAAAAAGGGTTGCCACCAACCACCGAACCCACACAGAATCCCGGGGAACAAATACTTTTAAGGGGTCTCAAGTTCAAGTGCAGTCTCCATCTTGGGCTTCCTTCCTGCTAGAAGACTAGAGTCTAGACATCCAGACCAGACACAGACAAGCGGCTAAGACAATTGGCCAGCGGATTTGAATAAACATTAGAGAAAGAATGAAAGGAGTAGAGAATGAACGAAACATGAAAGACACATTTGTTTATGCAAAATGCCTCGGAACAGTGCGAATTATAATAGCCCAGGGCTCATAAATTAAACCCCCAGGCCGACAAAGACATCATTCGCTTATTTAAATTTAGTCTTAGAGTTGAGTTGGGTTCACAAAAAAAGAAAAGAGACTTCGATTGGCCGAGAGTACGTGTTGCAAATTTGTTTTGATATCTAAAAATTTGTAGGACGGAAGTCGCCACGTTCGTGAGCTTAGGGCACTGAGTTGAAAGTTAAGAACTGTTGGCTAAGGGCAGCTGCTTATCGAGGTGCGGCTCTTCCTGACCTTGTGCTGCTTTTTCTCTTACAAAATATTTTTGTTGTTTTATTTTCTTCATGATGTTTATGCTTGTTGCAGCAAGAAACATTGCATGACTTGGGCACACAAAAGTGGCAAAAAACGTAAATTTGTTTTTCCCTTTTTTTGTGGGTTTTCATGTTTGCTTATGTGCAAAAAGCAAAGTTTGGCAAAGAAAAAGTTTTGTCACTTTGAAGCTTCTTTTGGACATTTTAGCACGTTTAAACTAAGGGCTCTCACAACAGAATAATCTCAGGCTGTCAGATAAACAATTATGGGAATAGTTTAGATTGGATTTTGACTGTTATCTGTTGGGTTGATTTATTTGAAAAGTCAGAACTTTCTGATTTGAGGTGCATTTGATATTTACTTGTGGAATTTTATAATAAAGAAGACTTTAAAGGGAATTTGTTTTATTATTGCATTGAAGAACTCTGAAACTTATATTATTATTCTACCCTTGATATAAGATTACCTTCGTAAAAATTCTAGGTTACACCAATCCATAAGCCGAGTTTTTTCATGGTTCAATGTCAAGTTACAGCTTTGATTACCACCGCAAATAGAGTAACTAATGTCAATGTAAATCGCCTGTTAAGTTTTCCGCTCATTAGGCGTGATATTACAGCCAAGTTTGGGCTAAAAAACGTCAAGAAAAATAAACAATTGGCCCATTAAATTACGCCCTTGTAAAACGGGCCTAATGTGTGCGTAGTCATTCTGTTGTTGGCCTAGTTAATAATACATTAGGCCAAACATCACACACTCATCGCCGTGATCCGATGCTGATATGTTTGTTACTAGCCATGTAAAACGCCAGTTGAATTGTCAATTTATACGAAATTGTCAACAATTAACATTTAACAAAAACACACACACGCGAGAGGAAGTGGAGCGATTTGGGCCAGTCAGATAAGGCCAAAATGCTGTCAACTGTCAAATTTAATCATACTATAAAACGCAGGCTATAAAAAGCCAGCTACGAGATACAAGATACAAGATACGAGATGCAAAGCAAAGGAAAACAAAAGCTGACTGACTGACTGGCATTATTTTGGCATGTTTTGAAGCTTATGACAAACGCCAGATTGAGTTACTTTTTCGGTGTCAGTGTACTTATCGTGTGAAATATTTTTATAATGATGTGCTTCTATTTTTAACTAACAAAAGATGTTTTCCTGCTGAGCTGCACTGGCTAATTATCCTGATGAACTTACCTTAAAAGAGGGCCGCGCTAGTTAGTCTATTGCAAATGGCAGTCAGCTTCCGTTTCCGGTGTCCGTTTGGCAGAAAAGTATCCAATTAGATTTTTCCAAACAGCTGCGCAGGCGTCACCGCGAAAAAGGGGGGAAAACTGGCGGGGAAAACGAAGCGCAAGCCGAAAAACAAATGCGAAACTTTTGCCGCAACTTTTCCAACGCTGCAGTGATTTTTCAATTTGTTGCTTTGCACTTGTTGTGAATTTTTCATTCAACGGATTTTATACAGACAGATGGATTTTAATATTTAATTTTGTGCAATTTACTTTATATTGCATAAAACATTTCTCTTTGGCACTTGAATGGGTTTTAAAAATAAATATGTTAGATGTGTATATTTAATCTGGTAAAAGCAGGCACTTTATAGCACTTTTTTTGCGCGATTCGGCGAATGGGTTTTTCAATAAAATACAAATTCCCCAAAAGGGACTTTCGATATTTGTACACCGAGTGTTAGAACTAAAATTTGCAGTTGGATTTTCGCGAAATTCACGCCGCAGATGCGAATTGCAGACGGCCGCGGAAATGCGTTGTACGAACGTCAGAAAGCGCTCAACTTGAACTGAACCCAAAAGTATCTCGAACCGAACGTATCTGAATCTTTTTCCAGCATAAGCGGCGGCAGCGCTGCCGGCGTCGACGTCGACAACAACATCGCAATGGCGGACCGTTTGGCAACGGGCCACTCGTTTCCGGCTCGTTCCATGCCACTCGTTCCGCAAACCGGCTTGCGCATGTTTGAGTGCCAGCGGAACGAGTGGAGTGGAGAACTGGTTTCGTTTCGAGTGACTTTCGGAGTTAATTACTCAATTATGCTGCAATGCACTCAAAGAAATTAAGCATGCTGAATGAGTTTTAGCAGTTTCATTAATATTTAAAGAGTTTTCTTGGAAAGAAAATATATTTATATTTAAATGTGACATTTTGGATCATATAAATATCCACAGGATTTTTATTTTAGCAACAATTTCGAACAACCTAATTCTAAATATTATCCGATTAGTCTATATATGAATATTTTTTAGATTTATACATTGATAATTGTGGTTACCGACATTAAAATACATTTAAAGTTTATTTTTAGCAGGGCCTAGAAAAACAAAATACTAAGTTGATAATGAAAACGTGAAATATTGGTTCTTTAAAGCCCATGAACTTTATCCTTTGTTTTTAGTGTACCTCAAAATAGGCACTTGATATGTGACCAGTATATGTGCGAGATATGCAATTTAGTGGTTGTATTTTAGAAATTTATTGTTTTTTATCGGCCAGAGTTCACAGGTAGATGGCAATTGAGATTTTTCACTTCTTTACTATGTCTTGGCGCTGGATTTATGGCAGAGGCGTCAATTTGATGAGCGTGTGAAATGCTGGGATTCGAAGGGATAGTTGCTGGATTGATGGATCCCGTCGGGCAGGTGGACTCTAATTAGGCTGAGGTACGGATATGAACTCCAATCAACCTGAAATGCTCAAGTGCTTTCTACATTGAAAAAAAATGTCTTAAATTCTCAAGATAATGCATCATGTTTTTATGTTTAGACTATATCAGTAGATTATCAATACATATTACAATAAATATGAGAAGCAAAACTCTTCTAGAACTTATTTACCTTGGTAGTAACAACACATTTTGCATGTTAGATTACATGACATGTCATACATGACAAGGGATGCTTAGAAAATTGCATTAATTCTGTTTTAGTAATAATAGATTTACTTGTTCTTTCCATTTTCTGACTCAAATGAAACCCTTTTTTGGCAAGTGCAGTTTAAAGTGCATATTTGTCCAGCGCAGTCCCCTCGAAAAGTTGCAATGTTCAGTGTGCAATTCACTTCACAGCATTAACATCCATAAATATTTATGTGACGAACTGGAGTCCTGCCATTCCAGGAAATTCATCATTCTCTTCCTCCTTTGGCTAATTTAGTGTTTCTACTCAAATTCTTTCAGCTTGCGAATTTGTTACGGTACTTTTTCCGGCTCCTAAGCCAAACTACCAGCTCCAGACTCCAAACTCTTGGTCAAAACCCCGAAGTGCAAACATATTTATGCGAGCCAACGTGGCCCCGCACTTCAAGGCGATGCCGCCGAGTTGGGAGGGAGTACGAATGCGAGTAGAAGTATCTGTGACAAGTGTCTTTCATTAGCATAAGTAAATCTCCTCGAAATCCTCAAATTTATTTGTCAACACTTGACAATTTCATTGTTGACGTCTCGGCAGGCGCAGCTGTAAACGAGTTGGATGCCACCAGCAACATGGCCAGCAAATCATGATTTGTGTCTTGCATGTCACTTTGGCATGGCCAAGCCTCCAACATCTCCGTGCTATTGGTAAAAACAACAGGCCAACACAATGCAAATGGTCAGAGAAGGGTGATGGAGATGGTGATGGAAATGGAGATCGGTAGATGGGGTCCCCAGATGGAGAAGTGTCGCCTCAAGTCCCAAACTCCGTCTTAAATCAAAGGCAAATATTTAACAGCAAACGGACAGCAGTGGCTCATTCGGCATCTCTCTTTTTCCCAGAGCTTGAACATTGATTTTTCAATGGTTTTTACTACCAAAAAAAGAAAAGTCTGATTTGTGCAAGCCTTTCTTCGCTGTTTTGCATATCTCTACCTCTCTTTTTTCATACTTATTTTTTGGCGTTCTTCTTCTGTCTCCATAGTTGAGCTTTACGAGCATGTTGGGTAGTTAAATATTTTATGTCATATTTTTATGCCCATATCAAAGTTTTCCATTAGGCTAAATGTTTATAATTTATGCTTACTACTGGTATGAGTAAACGCATTACATAAGATTCATTATGTATTTTGTATTACCTCAGTGGTGAACGGAAATTCCTAGTTTATGGCAGTGATTTCGGTTTTAATGGCAAATTCTTGATTTTTTGTAATAATTAAATTTGTGGTTTTAAATAAATGTTTGGGTAATGCGAAAGCCTTGATGCATATGCTTTCCAAACCGTTTGTATTTTATTCCTTAATTTGGGAGCTATATGTTTTTATAAATTTTTGGTAAAATTATAACGTTGAGAAAAAATACCTATTAAAGGTTATAATTGTTCTTTAATTTATTTAATTATACCATGAAACATTTTTGGGGTTTTGACTTCAATATCGGAAAGTTCTTCTAGATATGTCTGGTTTTCGTTTATATTTCCCTGTCATTCATTTTGTCAACTTAATGCTTTCTATCTGACATAAAGTGAAAGCTCTTTACTTTTCTCTGTCTAAATTCCCTATTAGTTCCTAACTTTGTCAAGGTTAATTGCCACCCTGAAAAACTAGACAAAGACAAGCCGAAACTAAAGCCAAACTAAGAGCAACCTAAACCACTGACTAAGCGAGGACCCCCTCTTATCGGGCTTATCGCTCCCTGTGCCAATGTCGTCATAGTTGGCTGGAAGACTGGGTCTCTTGTCTTGGTCGTCATCGTCATGGCGGCATTATGGCCAACACTTCATTACCAACAAAGCCATTGCCATTCATTAACAGCTGCGGCTTTGTGGACCTGGGTTTCTTTTGAGTTTCTGCTGTCGCCGCAGTAAAAGTTGGCAGCGTTGGCTTCGCAGGTCTGGTCTCGTGGCGATTCTGGCCACTCTCTTCGGGCCCGGCTCATAATGCCAACGTAATCTCAAATTACTGCAAATTTTCGCCGCTCACCTTTTATGCGCTTATTTATTTTATTGTGCATTTTCATTGCACTTTTTGTGCCAAGCAACCCCCCCTTCCAAGTTTCCATCGGAATCTCCATCTCATTTCATTGGCCGTTGGTTCGTTGTAAATCTTGTATTATTTTGATTGTTGTGCAGTTTTATTGTTGTGTCAATAATCTGCCTTCTCTGCCTGCTACCAATAAGCAACCTTTCTGGCCAAGGCAGAAGCGCATTTCCGCAATTTCCAGGCGCCTTTGGCTGCGACGACAGGTGCACAAATGGTCCATAGAATGGGCGTTTGATTGAGCCACCCCTTTCTCCACTTCGATGGCAAAGCGATGTATTTAATGATTTGTTTAAGTCGCTGAAGAAGAAAAAAAAGTATGTGGAAAAAAGGGGGGAAGTGCCGACCACCACAGGCAAATGCCGTTGAGGCGAGTTTATCACCGAGATAAGCATATAAATAATGAAGGTTTCTTCTGGCCATAAACACACTGGATGAGTTGGCAAAACTTTTCCTGTTACACGGGCAAAACGGCAGATCGAACTTGGTAAAAACAATTTATTAACGATAGGATTTCCGGAATCCAGAACTCGTTTCAACTCCCCTTTGGTAAAAATGTTTCGAGAATTCCTCTCTATTCAGAGTTAAGATTAAGTTTTTCCTATTATATTCAATTTAAGCTAAAGTTTCTCTCTCTGCAAGTATAAGATTCATAGAGATGTTAAGGAATTTCTGTCCAAGAGGAAACTCCTTAACTCTTTATTGAATGTCCATCTACTTGCGATTTATTCAAATGTTCCTCAATCAAAAGTCCCATTTTTTGCCACCTGCTAGCACTTGTTCCATTGCATTTGGCTTAACCAAGGCAAAGCCAAATTAGGACTTGTGACAATTGCTATACATACATCATCATGCAGCACTTTAATTGTGCCTGGCACTCAATCTTTCAATCACGCCAGCTAGTTGCGGAGGGTCAGGGGAAGCTATGTGGATTACATGCGGCTGACTGGACCAAAGGATGGCTGGATGGATGGATGATTCAGTCGGCTGGGGCAGCGAAGCGACTGCCGAGGATGGCGGGCAATATAATCTATATAATCATAAGAGTGTACCATCTTGTAACATCGCTCCCCCCCCCCCCCCCCCCCGCACTCCCCACAAGACTCACGCATTTGCGACATGTTGTCAACTCGAATTGCGTTCGACTGATTGAAGGCAACCAGCCAGGCAGAGCCCATCCTATACCATCCTTTCCTATCCGATCCCATTGCATCCCATTTTACACTACAAGAATATATTTTCATATTTTAGTAGATATATTAGTCGTAATAATGGTTTAAAAATCAAAGACTATTACCCTTAAGTAACAGTTCGATATGCTGATGCTTATAAAAGATGTATTGATTATATATGAAATTAATTTTTGATCCAATATATATATATTATAGTAGTATTATAATTGTCTAAAAATATTTATATGAATTTTGGATATTCCATTTTTTTTATTTAAGCATTTAGGATCAACGAATATTTTCCCTGTGCAGTCCTTTGCCATCGCTCAGCCACAAACAGCGACAAGTTGATGGCCAAAGCCAAAGTCAAAGCCGCAGCCAAAGTCGGCCTACAATGTAGGCAAGTGGCCAAGCATCGACTCCCAAAGAACTCTTCGTAAACCAGACAGGTTTGTCGCCTGTCGCCAATCGAGACACCAGCAACGGAGCGGAGATGGGAACGGATCTGGAGTTGGACTTTTAGATGGAGCTGAGGCTAAAGTTGGAGCTCAGCCTGGCGGAGACTGGGATGGAAGAAGAGGATTCTTCGTTTTTGGGTAGGCGTCGCGCAGATTGATCAACAGACCAGGACGTTTGTCTAAGACTTGG